GCAGGGCCATGGGCCAGGGTGGTATTTGCATCCTCCTCCCTGAGCTCATCTTGGGATTGAGGGGTGGCGGGGGATGGGGGGGGAACCAAAGGGAAACAGCCCTGAACGTGTCAGACTTGCCTTGCTCCTGTCTTGAGTTCCCCTTCTGCACTGGGCAGCATGGGAGCTTGCGGCAAGGACCTCAGTGGAGACATAATGGAGGTGCACACCCCAGCTGCATGTCCTGTATTAACAACCCTTGAGACACCTAGGTAGCACTTTGTGGAGGCGCTCACTGGCCGCCAGACCACTGTCAGGTGGATTTTGGGGTAAGATGCCCGTGGTATGGATTTGGCGGGTGACATGGTAGAGGTGTGGGTTCCAATGACAGCTGGGAGCTTGTATCTCCGCTTTTGTGGAACTGAACTTCGAGGGTCCTCGGGCCCTCTCATATTAGGTCCTCAGACAGGAGAAGCAACTAAAAACTTAGCTAGAAGCACTTTGAAGGATTTCTTATGCTATCTGAAACCTGCCCACTGGTAGGTTCCAGCTCTCTCCCTCCCGATGGTGATCAGACATGATTATCATGCCCACTGTGCTTCATGCTGCAGAAGCTCTCGAACCCTGTACAGCTGGAAAGAGAAGGACTCTGACACAGAGTGTGCACATCCACCAGCCAGGTGGGAAAGCCATTTGCTTTCCCCACCCAAAACATCCCAGGAGCAGGGAACCCCTTCTGGGAGCATCAGTGGTCAGCATCCTCAAGCGTCCTGCCTGGAGGTCTGGGCCAGACCACACAAGGCTGTTTTTATCCTTGTGGAAGTCAACAGGGACACTGAAAGGGAAATGACCAGTCTCCAAACGATGTCAGTCGTTCACTCTTATCACAAGAAAGGCTGAGCATTAACCCAGATGTATTTACTAATAAGTTGTGTGCTGTGCTACATGTACTGATATGCTCATGATAAAACTTTTTTAAAGATTTATTTATTCATGAGAGACACAGAGAGGCAGAGACATAGGCAGAGGGAGAAGCAGGCTCCCTGGGGGGAGCCCGATGCAGGATTCCAGGATCAGGACCTGAGCCAAAGCAGACACTTAACTGCTGAGTCACCCAGGCGTCCCAAAATGAAAGTTCTAAGGGCAAAGAAAATAAATACAAATAGGTTCTCGTATTTTCTTTCCAAACACCAATGGAGGTTTTAAGTTTTAGCACAAGCTTGGCCACCAGGTAAGTAAGTATAATAGTCACCCATCCAGGCAGTTTTTAAGGTACACTGAAAGGACCCCATTTGGCCTGCAACTTAACAGCCCAGTATCTGGAATTCCATTAGAAATAATTTCGAGTGTGACTGCAGGGTGATGCTCCCTTGGCATTTAGTGAAGGGATGCGGGAATGATGTCCCCTGGGTTTACATGGGACCCTCACAGAGCCCCCAGAGGAGCACACTGAGCCGAGCCCTGCAGCAGGGAAGGCCTCCTCAGGGCCTCCCCAACTCCAGATGGCTGCTCGGTGGGGATTCAGACAGGGTTCCCTTCCCCTAAGGGATGCAATGCTTTGTCAGAGCACGTGGCTGGGGGAGGAGAGTGCTGCCCCGGCTCCAGGTAGCCAAAGCCCTCCTGGCAGTCAAGTCCATGTGGGGCGGCAGGATGGGACCCCAGCTGTTCCCATGGGTGCCAGCAGGGAAGCAAAGACAATACTGATGTAGGATGTGTCCAGAGGAAGGGTGGCTGTGGCTGCTGCTCATTCTGGTCCCTGAGGATATAACACCTCCCTGGGAGGGAAGCGGGGGGAAGGGGGTTGGCATCTGAGCAATTCAGCAGCATCCAATCCATCAGCAATCCACAGCATCTCCTGAAGGGACTTTCCTCTCCCACATGGCCATGGCCCCTTGGTTCTCTCCACCCGGAAGCCTCTCTTTACATCCTGTAAAAACAGAACCACGGCCAGCCCGGCAGCACAAGGGGTGGAGATGCCGGAAAAACAGGCAAAGGGGCAGTGGGCACAGGGCCCCGGTGCATAACGGAACAAGCACTGGTGGCGGAATCCAACCAACCTGGCCCTCGGCCTGACCCTGGGACTTTGGGAAAGGTCACCTTCTACCTTACCTGAGTCACTTTTCCCTCATTGCCAATAAACGATAAACACTGTCTCAACAACAAAAATAGTAAGTATTCTCTACTCATGGATACTGAAATAAAACCATCTCAACACCCTCACATAGCAACCCCATACTTTTAGCTGCTCAGGCCAAAATCCACACATTCTCAGGGGGAGCCAGGCTCCTGGCAGGCAGAGCACACGCCCTGGGGGTGGGGGGAGCTCCTGGGGAAGCAAGGACAGAGGGTTAGAGGGCTGGGGAGACAGGGGTGGGCGTGATGCCATCACCCTACGTCCCAAGCAGGCTGGAACAGGGTACAGCCTGAACAACGAAGCAGGGGGAGCCCAGGTCTCCCTGCAGCCTCTCTGTCCCAGATGTGAGGATCCCGTACTTCTCTTTAGGAAAAGGCATCAGGGCAAACGATAGCAAATGAAAACCTGTGTGCGTGAGCTGCCACGCACTGACCCTTGGCAGACGCTAGGGAAGCACAGTGGTTCCAGAGACCAGGCAACAGAGTAGGGGCCCCAGCAGGGACGGTGCGTCACTGCCTGCAAACTGGGCCTCCACCAAAGCCTACTACCTGGGCTTCGCCGTCATAAGGTGGGGGCACAGACACATACCTGGCTGCACCGCGGTGAGTTAGCTAAGCCAGTGCTTGGTAAATGTAATGCTGGAGAGAACGTGTTGGGCAGAAAGGATTCTGACCCCAGAGAGGCCCATGTCCTAACCCCAGAACCTGTGATATGGCACCATGTGCGGCAACGGGACTTAGCATTTTAATTAGCTTGCACTAGATTTTCAGACAGATTTATAGAGATGGCACTGGAGATGCTTAATGGTTAGAAAGTAACAGACTTTCCCTAGGAAGTATTCTAAAGTTGATCACGAAGGACATGAATTTTTTTAAGTAGCTTCCATGCCCAGGGTGGAGCCCAATGTGGGCCTTGAACTCACGACCCTGAGGATCGAGACCTGAGCTGACATCAAGAGTCAGGTGCTTACCCAACTTAGTCACACAGGTGCCCCAAGGACATGAACTTTTATCTCTCAGGGAAAAGGTACCTGAAAGATCTAAAAAGGCTAATTTTAAAAGGACAATTTTAAGATTGCTATTTCCACTCATGATCTTTCTTATGCTAAAAAAATCTCATCAGTTACACATAAGATTCAAACAGCCAAAGAGCAAGGACTGGAGTCATGTCAGGAGCCAGAGGGTCACGAGGACATTCTAGGCCAAGGTCATGTGGAACGACTGTGCATCCTTCTCAACTGCAGAGGCAGAACCACGTCAATTGTGCAGGAGGATACTCAGTATTAAGGTGCCTCAAAGAGCAGCACGCAAGTATTCAAACTGCATTCCAAGTAGCTCAAAGGCTCCAGCACAGGGAACATCAGCTCACACAGACACAGAGGGACCCACAGGTTCTGTGGACCTGACAGCAGAGAGCCCACCTGTGAGGAGACAGCCCAGGACCTGGCCACACTGTGCTAAGTGTCCTAATAGAGGCAGGAGAAGCCCGACGACCCCCGATGGGGCCGTCAGGACAGCAAAGATCCAAAACGGAAAGGAGATGCCAGGGAGGCTCAGAGGCAAGCAGAAGAGGAAGGGTGCTCAACACAGCCTACAGGGCAGGAGCAAGCAGGAAGATCAGGGGAACCTGGCCGCAGAATCCTTAGGAGGACTCGGAGCAGGAGGGGCAGGGAGAGGGGAGGCTCTGCATAGCGTTAGTGGACCAGGAGGTCCCAGGGAGGGCAGGCAGCTGGGGGCAGGCTGCCAACGTGGCCACTGTGGCCTGTGAGCCAGTTTACGAGGAAGGGAGATGCAGCTGAAAGGAGAAGGGTCCAAGCCACAGAGGGAGGGAGGCAGACAGAGGGAAGGGGGGAAGGTGGGGCAGCTGGTTTACGTTTTGCTTTGGATTTTTCATTTAACGATGGCACAAAGAACTGCATGAAAAGCACGGCTCTGAAGACCTAGACAAGATGACGAGAAAGCAGGGGGAGGAGGAGGCCCCATGACTGGGACCCCGAGCCCACCCAACACCCCGGGGCTCTCCTTGCACTCGGCACTTCTGAACAGCACACAATCGATGGAGAGGCTCAGGAGAACTCGTAAATGGAACCCAAACATGATCAAGGCCCAGCCACCCCCCCCAACCCCCAGAAGGGCCAGCAGACAGGCAGTGCAGCCAGCGTCCCCATGGTCCAGTACAGACCACTACCGCCAGCACAGACGCCCCAATGAAGGTGCACACAGCAGGTAGGAGTCACAAGACTCCAGTCTCAAAGTCACTTCAGGGTGGTCCTCACTCCAGAACTACACAAACTAGCTTCTGGTGGTCAGGCCCTGCCCCAATCTTGGAAAATCAAAATGGTCACTTGGTACACTCAGCTAAGTGTGCTTTTCACTTTTCACGTTTGCTTACTGCATGTGGAGCTCGTCTAATGAGACTGAGCCCCAAAAGCCCACAAGAGAAAAGGGGAGGGGCGCCTGGGTGGCCATCTGCCTTTGGCTGAGGTCATGACCCCAGAGTCCTGGGATAGAGCCCCACACCCAGTTCCCTGCTCAGCGGGGAGCCTGCTTCTCCCTCTCCTTCCCCCTCAGCCCTCCACTCCACTCGTGCTTCCTCTCTCAAATCTTCAAAAAACATCACAAATACATATGGACACTTAGCTTCATTTTTTTTTTTTTTTTTGCCTCTTTACTAAACTCAGGCTGGTAGGTTCCCATCTGGGAAATGGCCTATTGGCCAAAACATTCTCTCCCAGAAATAATGTAGTCTTTGGTTCACGTGCTGTCCAGCTCCCGTGCTCGTGGTCTGTGCAGAAGACCCTCTGGGGGTGGGGTGGGGTCTAGCCTAAATTCCCAGGGGTGGGAACATCTCCCCATTTACAGAAAGAAAAGTTCTGGCCACCAAAGTGCCACATCTAAGGATTTCTTTATCATTGATGATCATTACAGTATTTCACGTTCAAAACAAAGCTTCTCATAAGGACCTCACAGATCGGTCTACACATAAAATATGATTTATACAAACAAAACCCACAAAGAAAAAAAAACAAAAAACCGGCTGGCTGTCCCAGGTTGGTGCAGAGATAGGACAGGGGCTGCAGGCTGCACTCAGGGGCCAGGTCTTCCGAGGAGAAGGGCCAGGAGAGCCCAGGTAGTGACCACACCGCAGACCCTGCAAGACAGAGAGGTCAGCGGCTCCACCGGCAGCCGTGTGAGAACGGGCAGGTCCAGAGGACAGACACGCAGGCCCGGCACCGCTCACCCAAACATCCCCATCTTCCCATCCTTCTCCCCACATGAACTTCTGACTCCAGGGCAGAATGGCCTGAGACACATGCAGACAAGTCATTTTCCTAGTGATTTACATCAAAGGTTGACAGATGGAAAAGATAGCCAAACATTTTTCTTCAAGTATGTAGTTTTCTACAGATAAGGCTCTTAACCAGCAGCCAAAACCCTCATAGAGCAATTCCATCTGTGTCACGCAGGCCGAAAACCCAAACTCGACCCTGCTCCAGGCTGTCCATGATCCCGCCTCAGCACCCCACTCTGCCACCAACGCAGTCCAAGCCCAACTGGACAGGATGCCCGCCTGGTTTCCCCGACCACCTCCCTGGCCCTCTGCAGCCTGCCTCACACAGAGCACCTCACCTGGCCGCCCACAGCTCCTCCCAACAGCCCGGGCCCACCAGGCCCACAAACCTCTCCAGCCCCTCTCCGTGGTCTCCTCATTGCCCCTTGGCACACCAGACATTTCCCCACCCAAGAGCCTCAGCCCCACACCCAGGCAGTCTCCCCCAGAGCTCTGCTGGGCTCATTCCCTCACATCCTTTAAGACTTTAATGGGGTTCCCATCTATACCCTCACCAGCAGCCCCCCTCTAGCCCCCTACTCCCACCTTCTGACCTGCTCTTGTTTTTGCCACACACTTGTCACCTGATCTATCTATAATTCGCTTGTTCACAGTTACCTCCCGCTGGAGTGTGAGTTCCAAGAGAACAGGGATTTTGTTTTATTGGCTGATGCAACCTAGAACCCACAATAGTACCCAATACAGCAGATGTTTAGTAAACGTTTGCCCAGTGTTACCGAATGACACCCAGGTCACCATACTTGTCAATGACCCCTTCATAACACACACTAGCTGGTGAACTCCACTCCATGCAGAGCCCACCAACATTGTAGTCTTAGTCCGAAAGGCAGCCTTGGTCCTGGTCACTTACTGTAACAAGCAGTTGATGTTCGGGGAGTGTCTCCAGTATCGGTACAGGGAGACCTGCAGGGTAGGGTGGCCCCTATACTCCTTCAGGATGCTCCGAGCACTGCCAAGAGGAGTTCTCAGGTCAGGCATGCAAGTATCAGACCTGCTGCCCCAAGAGACCACTAGGAGACAGGGGCTGTGGGGCCCAAGGACAGGCTGGGGGGCCAAGGCACCTACTCCTTAAACTTATTGGTCAAGAGCAGGAACTGGCTCCGTGAGAGGCGCCGCACATCAAACTTGCAGACATTCTGAAACTCACGATAGACTTGCTGCTCGCTGACCCCAGGCCACCTACGGACACGCAGGAGGAGGATGGGAGGCCGGATACTGGGGCAATCTGGACCAGAAAAGTTCTAGAAGACAGGGAGAAGAACAGAGATTTTCTGAAATTCCTACTGACAAACTACCTGGTTTGAAAATCCTGAGGCTACAAGATGTCCTGTGTGGACTGGGAGGGGGACGGAAGGAATGTACACATCCGCATTGGTTTGGGCAGGAAGACAAGGAAAGAACAAGCCTATCGGGGTGGAAGCACCCTCTTCACTCTGGTTTTTTGGTTGTCATCAGACCACCTCTGAGATATCCCCCAGGAAACCAGGCTGCTTCCCAGCACATGCCTCTGAGTAGGGGAAAGGAACAAAAGAAAGGCTACTCACAATCTTAGGGACCCCAGCTCGGATAAGATTCACCTGGTTCACATAGGGAGCCAGCACGTCAAGGTAGAGAGAAAAGGAGGGCTCAGGCATGGGACCGGCACTGTAGGGACAGAGAAAACCCCAGAACATTGGGCAGAGCAGCAATCAAGCACAGGTCCTTAGCCACAGCTACGAGTCCGCTGAGGGAACAGAGGAAGGGGCCGCCTCGGATCACTCTTCCCCCTCCTCCCTCCAAATCACCGTGCTTCCGCCACCAACCAATCTCACAAAGTTCTCTCCAGGGCCCAAATCAAAGCAGGGCTTCCAGGTGGTCACTGCCTGTTGGTGACACTTTTGGAAAGAATTCCTTGGCAAATGTTAGCAATGGGCTCAGAGAATTAGTTAGAGGCCATGGTCCAGAGGTGCACTTGACAGGACATCACCCTTGATTCCTAATGGCCGCCCCTCAGCCGTCATTCTACTATGCCCTACCTCCATCCAGACACAACCACACATCTAAGCACAGGTCTGTGGAGAAGCACAAGCCTTGGAGCCAGACAGGCCCCAGGCCACTATAGAACTTCTCTAAACCTAGGAGGGTTTTTAAGTCATGAGGTTCAGAGCAAAAGGCTGTAAAGCACCCAGGTGCAGGACATGATGGGGCTTCCCTGCCATTAGCAGCCTTCACTGTCTTGCATGCATGTACCTCCCCAGTGAGCACTCAGATGCTGTCAAAGGAAAGAGTAAGGGGGGGAGGGAGAGACAGACTTCTTATTCAAGCTATCAGCCTCACGTCAACAGGTCATAGAGTATTTCTATGCATAACAGCCATTACTAAAATGGGCAAATGTGGGGAGTACCAAAGTTAACAGATTAGTCCATGATTATTAGTTTTCTTAGTCAGAAAAGGTTAAGTCAGCCTCAAAGACCCTGTTCCAATTTTCATTAGCTCCTCCACCAGGCCTAATTCCTACTTACCAAATACATACACCAAGGACGGGGCTACAGAACACATATTTCAAGTGTGGCATTGGTGCCTAGGAGCCTGGTGCCATAAGAATCAAGAATGCTGCTGCCATGGGGAAATGCATTTACGATGCCAATTTGGGGTTAAGAAGCTCTTCCCTATAGCCCTTATTCCAAGCAGCCCCCCTTCTCCCCAGCCTGTACAGGCCCCAAGGAGGTGCCACTCATTGACCAGAACACTCTGTCCTCCTACCTGTGATTTATGCAGTTAGGAGAACCAGGTGGGTAATGAAGCCAGCATACTACACTGGGAAGCACTGAGGCAGGTGCGGGGACCTGCAGCTGACCTCCCTCCCTTGGCCTCCTGGCACGTGAACGATCCCAAAGTGGAGACGAGGGCCCAGGACCAGCAGGGAAGGCCATCCTCCATGGAGGGCGGGGGGGGAAGCTGCTGCCCAGTCAGGGACCATCCCTGCCCAATGACACTGCCTCCCCCCGTCTTTGGGAGAGCCACAGGAGCCCGGAGGTCTTAGCTTACAGCGAGGGTTCAGAATGTGGCCACTGTTCCAGGAACAGGACGAAAGGAAGGAACGCTCACCTGTGTACTCTCCATAGGAGCAAGTGTGCCACTTTCAGAAGAACTGGTGGGGGGAAGAGAAAAGCTAGAGATGTAACACACGTCCAGGCTCAACCAGATCACCTCCTCAAAATATGCCAACTCCTGGGTGGGGGTGAATGGGTGGCGGGCACAGAGGGGGACACTTGACGGGATGAGCACTGGGTGTTATTCTGTATGTTGGTAAATTGAACACCAATAAAAATTAATTTATTTAAAAAAATATGCCAACTCCTGCTTTGTGTCCGTTACATGCAACCCACCTGGAAATAAACGGAGACCCTCATGATGGTGGGAGAGTACCACAAGTAAAGCGGGAGCCCCCTTGCAGAGGACAACTCTCACCTGATCCACAAAGGAAGGCATCATAGGCAGCCTCGTGGGGGTACTTGGTCTCAACTGAAGGGAGAGGGGGAGAGAGAGAGAGAGAGAGATAGAGAGAGAGAAAGAAAGAGAGCGCGGAGCCACCATCAGAACACGGCCTGGACGAGGAATCTCTTCCCCACCCAGCTCCACACCTGCACCGGCCAAGCACACACCACCAGCACCCATCATTCCTCCAGAAAGGTGTGTGTGCTTCTCCCCACCTGTCTTCACCATGGGCTCTGGCCCCCCAGCAAGCCAGCCACATGTCAAAGGGGGCAGAGGACCCCCAGGAGTTACGATCCCTTCCAGGATGGCTCCTTCATAAGGCAGAGGGGGGACATGGAGCACCCCATGTGACCTTCCCACACACCTGCCCCTGATCAGGAGAGGCCAGGCCTCATCCCTGGCACCTCAATACTTTGCCAACCATGGAGCAGCATACACTCACAGGAACATACCGTATTTTTCACACTTGCTTGCATGAATAACCACTGGCCCAGAATTTCTGGTAGGATTCAAGTCACTAGTAGAGAAAAGTAGCATAAGGAACAGTCACTGCAAATAAGCCCTTCTTGGGCTCTCCGCACCACGTTAAGTCAATAAAAATAAAAGGGTCCTAGAGACTGGGGTGCCTTTCTAAAAAGAACAAAAAGGCACAGACCCAGGAGTGGGGGGGAGGTAGGGTCTTGGTAACCAAGCAATCGGGCAGATGTGCCAGAGGCTGCAGCTGGGTCACTCACTCTGAGCAACTGCCATGCACCGAGCCTGATAAGCTTGGCACCAGCTCTGCCTGGAACTACCCTGTGGTCTAAAGGGCAGGTTGGGAGCTGGTCCCACTACCGCAGCAGCATCCCAAGAGTCCAGAACCACAGGAACTCATACGGTTGAAGGCACAGAGAGGTGTCCGGCAAGTTGAACATGGAGAACAGGCAAAGGCAGCGAGGCCCAACCAGTGCCACTGAGGCATTAAGTGTGGCCAAAGCCCCCATGGGAAGGGTAGGGGCCAGGAAAAGAGCTCGGATGATCGGGGAGGAGAGGTGAGGGGGGTATGGGAAGCCCTTTCAGAAACATGGGGAAGACAGCCCAGAAACACGGCCCAGGTGATTCATGTTTTAAAAGATCACACCAGTGTCGATGGGAAATGAGCCAGACAGGCCCTGAGATGCCCACAGGCTGCATGCCTGCAATGGGAGAGGCCGGGGCGAAGGCAGGGATGCTAGGCACACAGAGGAAGGGCACACCAGAAAGCCTCTGGGCATGCTCAGGGCGTCAGCCGACTAGGAGTGGCTGGCCTGGCCCGGCTCTGGCACAGGTGGGGGCACTCCACGAGGAAACCTTCCCATGGTTTTCCAACAAAGCTTCTCAACATGCGTCCATGCCAAGCACCTCAGAACTGCCAGCTGTCTCAGGTGTGTGCCCATTTGGTTTAGGGCCACTGGCTACCATGCCAGCCGCCAACACCAACACTGCACAGGGCAGGGGCCCTTGTCCTTCTCTGCAGGTGAGCTGTTCACCTCTACAGCCACCTGCGGTTTTCCTGTGGCCACTTCCTCGGGTCACAGGCGGGAAGACAGAGGCCCAGAGAGATTCAGTCATTCTCTTGAGGTTGCTCACAAGCCACCGGGTGGCAAAGCCAGACCTTGAACCTGAGGAGTCTCAGTTCAGAGCCTAGGCGTTTCCAGTAGAGCCTCTCACATGCACATGGGCCTGGGGCCGGAGGACCTAGCAGGGGTTGCCTCAGGCACAGAGATGGGCTTGAGGGGCAAGAACAGAGCAGGTTAAAAGGGGTTTGTGGCCATGCGGGTAGGAAGGGCCAGCAGACAGGGGGCAAGCGAAGGGGCCCTTGGGGTCTCAACAGTCACAGGTGGTAGCAGAAGCTGAGGTGGATTCAGTCACCCAGGGACATGGTCATGAGCAAGAGGAAAGCTGGGGAGCGCCCTGAAGGAACTAAAGGGGGTGGGTGGAAGAACAAGACCCCAGGAAGAATGGATTAAAAAAATTAAAAACCCACCAGAAATCTGGGAAAGGATCTTAGGGAAGGCCTGGGAGGGGAGAGGCTGGGAGTGCCAGGCACCAGAGGGTGGGTCATACACCATGCACCTCACACACATCGGCCCCTCGGCTGCGACCATGGCAGAGCCTGCACCCGGCAAGCTGGCAAGAACAAGGTTCATGAAGGAAGAGAACCCGACCTCCGTGGGCCAAGGCCATGTAGAGCACCTCCTCACCCCGCCCTGCATACAGGCGGTGCTCACATGTGCAGGCTGGCAGGAGAGACTCTTAAAAAGACAACACTGGAGGGCGGGAGGGAGCGGAGACTCCCCGCATAGGGCCTCTTACTGTCTTCCTGTAACTAGACCAGGGGTGCCGCTGGAGGACCCAGTGCCCAGGCATGGCACAGCAAGGGGTGGTCATGTGGGTGGTCAGAAGACAGCCACCAACAGAGGCACAGATCTGATCACCTCTCAAAAAGGTGCCACTTTCAGCTGCTGCAATGTGGCACTCTCCCCACCGCTGCTCTGGGTGCTAGTCCTCCCAGCTGGGACGGAAGGAGGTGAGCTGCCCCTACCCTGGTGTTCCCGGGCCCTGTGTCCCCACCAACTTGCACCCAGGCCACAGTGGGTCAAGGCCAGGAGGGGAGGTGGGAGCTGCTTCTCCTACAGAAAGATCAGGGTCATCCCTAGTACTGAGGTCGTACATTCACTCAAATGCTTGGGGGCACACCTACCAGCTCTGCTGTGGGCCCAGGAGAACCACCATCGGATGAAAGGAGATGAGCCTGACCTCATGGAGATTATCTCCAGTAATCAGAAACCAATCAAAAGAAATTAAACCATGGCCAACAGAAACCACCACGTAGTGACACCTGGGTGGCTGAGCAGTTGAGCGTCTGCCTTTGGCTCAGGGCATGATCCTGGGGTCCTGGGATCGGGCTCCCTGCATGGAGCCTGCTTCTCCCTCTGCCTGTATCTCTGCCTCTCGCTCTGTGTCTCTCTCATGAATAAATATATAAAATCTCTTTTTAAAAAAAAAAGAAGTATCAATATTTTGGGATGCCTGGGTGGCTCAGTGGTTGAGTGTCTGCCTTCAGCTCAGGTCAGGATCCCAGGGTCCCAAGATCGTGTCCCATATCAGGCTCTCTGCGTGGAGCCTGCTTCTCCCTCTACCTGTGTCTCTGCCTCTCTGTCTCTCATGAATAAATTTTAAAAATCTTAAAAAAAAAAAAATCACATAATCCAACAGCCGTAAGTATTTTACTGGATTCCTAGCCCTCTAGACAGGGTTAACCTCAGCACTAGAACATTTCGGGCTGGAGAATCCTCTGCTGTTGGGGGGCTGTCCTGGCCTCTACTCAGCAGATACCAATCCAAAGTCTCAACACTGCAGCCATGTCCTGGGGAATAAAATTCCCCCTGCCCTGGACTGAGAATCCCTGCACTGCTTTAAAAAAAAAAAAAAAAAATTCCTTACCTGTTTAGGACTTCATAAACTTCTGAAAGGTTTGAAACTCTTGGAAAATTCAGTTCCTAAAATTATGGAAAACAAATCAGGGAGAATAAAACTTGTGCTTTTGTTATCTGCTTTGAGGATTACCAAATGGCCATTAAAGAACCTAGAAAATAATCCCTATAAGCCCCTCTTTCTATTCAAACTTAAATCTCCTTATTCTTTGATATCTGGGCACCTACTAATCTTGGGTTTCCTAGAAGGTACCCAAAGACTTAAGCTAGAAGAACAGCAACAACTACTACCTTCTTTCAAAGACAAGTGTTTAAGAGGTTCCATAAATGTATGCCTCCAAGGCTCCCGGCCATGGCCAAGGACACACACATGTAGGACACCAGGTGCTCTGAGAACTAGCAAGCCTTGGGGAACTCCAGGTTGCTTTAGAGCTCATCAACTCTTGTGTGGCAAGGGGTACACATGGTCCCCTCAGATCAGCCCACATCCTCTCTGCTTCACCCTAGGACTCCACCACATGGACACAGACAACATCACATTAGCGTGTTAAGAGCTAGGAACTGGTGAGGTGCAAGTAGTGAACACAGCTCCAGGCAAAGATGTACCAAGTAACCCAGTGCCATTTCTGTGGCTCCCTTATTGAGTAATTCATCTTAAGTGACCAGCTTGAGGCTTTTAAATGTTGATCTGAGGGACACCTGGGTGGCTCAGTGGTTGAATGTCTGCCTTCGGCTCAGATAGTGATCCCGGGGTCCTATAACAGAGTTCTGCATCGGGCTCCCCACAGACAGCCTGCTTCGCCCTCTGCCTAGGTCTCTGCCTGTCTCTCTGGGTGTCTCTCATGAATAAATAAAATCTTAAAAAAAAAAAAATGCTGATCTGACTCCCCTTCTCTGTTCTTCAGTTTAATTTCTAAGAAACATTTAAGCTAGCTGGTGGGTCCCTTCTCCATGTGTAGTTCACACTCTAACTGCACAACAGAAGCCATCTGGGAGCTTTTAAAACACTCGCCCATCCCTCTAAACCACAGGAAGCTGGCGGTGGGACCCAGGTGTCAGGACTTGGCTTCCCAAGTGACTAATGTGCTCAGGGTGGAAAACTCATGACCTTATGGCTCAGTAAAGATTTTTCAGAACCTCCTCCATCCTGATGCTCTTGAAGTTGGCTGCAAATACTCATCACTCATATATCAAGCTCTAGAACAAGCTGTTCCATGACAAGCTTATTTAAATCAGACAAGCTAAAGAAAACTCATTCAAAACATGGGAACTTGAAGGAAAAAAAAAAAAAAACAAGAACTCGGAAGCTAATAGGATAACCCAACGCTAAAATACAAATGAAAAAATAAAATAAAATACAAATGAAGCCAATATTGGTGGTAAAACAGAGAAGGGTTCCAGGAAAAAGTTTTAGAAAGAGACAAAGTGACGTGTGACTGGGACAAAGCACTCCTTAACCCAAAGCAGTCCCGTTCATTACCTTCCAGATGTCCTTGGTCACATTCTTGGTGTCAATGAGAATGGGAAATAGGTTGTGGATATTCAACTTAAATTGATCATAGCTTTCTAAAGGGAAAGACCAGACAAAAGAGGGTACGTTGGTAAAAATGGGGAAGATGATTCTCCAACCTAGCTTGTCACCAACGCTAACAAATAAAGCAAACAAAAAGAGAATTAAAAACATCCCTGCTCTTAATCATTAAGAATTGACAGATCTCAAACCAACCTGCCACCACCATTCGTGGTGGTGAAAGCCAATGGCTATTAAATTCAGGATATTTTCTATGGCCAACATTAATGTAGTTTGCAAGGTTTTAGCCAACGGGGGAAAAAAAAAGGAGAAAGAAGTGCTATTGGAAAGGCAGATAGGAAATTGTCATTTATAAGGGACTGTTCAGAGAAGATTCAAGAAAAGTCAACTAAAAATTATAAGTGCCCTGATAAATTAAGCTACTGATTGGTATATTCAGATCAAAGGCCTACCTGCATATAGTTTAAAGAGGTTTGTTGCAAAACCAACCAACACCAAGCCTTGCTCTCCTCTTCCCACTCCCCACGCACTTTCCATTCCTTTTCTCTGGGTGTTTGTTCCCAGATCTCTCAATGGGCAGCACCATGCTGCTGCCAATTTCTCCAGGTTTAGGCATCTACCTGTGATTTCCTACAACGTAGGAGACGGCTCAACTCATGACTCATCTCCAGCCCACACCTCCTCGCGCTCTCACAGGGCCAGGTCGTGTTCCCCGACCTTTCCTTTCTTACCCAGCTCTTATTCTCCTAGAAATCTTGTCTTAGTTCTTCTGGTGAATGCTTATTAACTTTACCCCTACTCCTCCCCCAATTTTCTTAGTATGCTCAAAGTAAGGTGTTTTATCAATACATTTCTTGGGGAAATCTTAGCACCATCTCGCCCTCCTTGTCTAGATAGTGTACAGGACTTCATTTAATCCCTGTATCAGGATGTTGGTTCTATTTTTACCCTCAATTTTATGGGCAAGGAAATGGAGAAAGTAGCTTGCTGGAGCTCACACAGGTAACGGGGGTGGAATGAGGACCCAAGCATGGCTCTCAAGTCCGTGCTTTTAACAGCAGCACTACAAGGTTATATATCTAAGCAAGGGCATCAGTCATAGAAAAGCACGGTCCAGCCATAAAACAAGGCCACACAGCCACCGAATTGGCATTTATTGAGTGAATGACATACATGCTTTGGGTAAATGGGGGGGAGCCAAACAGCCAAACATACCATCAACTATGTAGTGCGGCCTAATTTGTGAGAACTCAGAGGAAAAAGCCAAGTGTTAGGATTATAGCTGAGATTGAAGGCAGCTTCCCTCCTGCTCCCATTTCTGATTTTGCAAGGTTATATATGAGAATAAGGGACAATTTCCATAATGGGGATCAGAGGATCAAGTCAAATATAAGCTTTCCTGCCAGAAAAATCAGTCACCTGGCTTCCCCTCTAGGAGGATGGCAACAAGGACAGATGTGCTGGAACTCTGCAGAAGCCCACCAAGTCGTGGGGAGCAGTGCATGTCAGGGCTACTGCAGGAGCACTCTGGACCCAAGCCCCCTTGCAAGGGTCGAGAGAAGCCCGGGAAGGGAACGGAAGGTGTGCCCGTACCTGGGAGCGGCCTGAAGAACTTCTCGTGGAGATGCAGCAGGTCCATCATCATGTTGTGGCCCACTAGGGGCTACTTGGACGAATCGACAGGTGCACAGAAGAGGTGTAAGAACAGACATCCTAGGTGAACACCCTCTCGCAGAAGGGGTGGCTTTAGAACCCACTGTGATCTTTCACCCCACCCTCATGACACTCGACGCAACCGCTCCATGGCCAGGACGACAAGCAGGGTGTAGGAGGATGTGGGACAGGGTCCACGCTGGGGCTCTGAATGAAACAAGGTCCCCCCAGCAGTTCTAGGTCAGCTAGTAGTGAAGCAGCCGTGTATGTAACAGCGGAAAAGAACCAAAGTGTTTTATGTGGACCCTCTGTCCCAGCTTAACTCATCAGTTTAGGGGAAGCAAGGCTAGATCCAGAAAGCCAGTTATGGACAAGAAAGAACCACTTATCTCAAGGAATCTTATTTTTGTTGGAGGATCCAGCATACTTCTATGGTCAGAAATACAAAGGACTGCTAGAGAGCAAGAGAAGAGATTTTTCTTGCCTACCTTCTGGGCTTTCACCAGCATCTGGAAAAACACCGAGAAGCCCCTCGCAGAGAGGAGAATCTTCTCCTTCCAACAGCTCTCTCGATCACAGGAGGTGTTCTCAAGATACCAGCGATGTTGTTTACTCACTTTTTTTACTATTATCTGAGACAAAAGTAGAGACAAGTTCTTTGAATCCTGGGTTCCTGGGAACAAAGCCAAAGAAGTGGTTCATCTCACGAGGAGAGGAGGAAAAGACGAAAGAAAGAAAGCCTTTCAGAGGCCAGATTTGGTGGGATGAGAGAAAATGGGGCCACTGAGACAACCTGCTCGCAGGTGGGAACTCACCCCCTGGTCTCTCAGGACCGTCCAGATGTCAGGGAGGGCCTGCCTCAGCACCAACTGGACCTCAAAGGCCTGGAAGCCTGTGGCAAGGAGACATGAGGCTCGCATAGAACCATCACAGACGGCAGCCTAGCTTCCTCAGGAGGAGTTGAGAGATGCATAGAGCCAACGGAGAGGCAGCGCAGAGGTGTGCCTAAGCCCAGGAGCCCCATGACAGGACAGCACAGCATTCACATCCATTCTTGAAGTTTACTTCAGGGCCACTCTGATATGGAGTACCCCGACAGGCCTTTGTGGCCGGAGGGGCGGGGGGTGATAGCTTTTGACACTTAGCGCATTAGAACAGCGTGCGGTAAACAACATAAAGAGTTCTCTTTTAAAATAACAAGCCCAGGGGCTCAGTCGGTTAAGCATCTGCCTTCGGCTCAGGTTATGATCCCGGGGTCCTGGGATCTGTTTCCCCTTCTCCTCCCACTTGTGCTCTCTCACGTAAATAAAATCTTTAAAAATACAATAAACCCATTATATTGCTGCCCATGGTTTTGTAATCTCATGCATTGGTTACATGAAAGATACTGGTTTGTGGAAGTACTCGAGTCTCCTGAAGTTCACACATTTCGTTAAATGCTATCAACAAGAGACACTTGCTCATGTGGCCACTGACCATCAGAAAGGTCTCGGTATTGGGAAGCTGTCAAGCTCCTGGTGGCACACCCAAGTTTCCCAGAATTTTAGTTTCTGATTGAAAGCTCGAATTTTATCACTAGCAAATTCTGTGAGTTCTTTTTCTGCAAGTGACAGGTTTGCTTTTCTCACTTGACAAAATAGCTGAAAATACCCAAATCAAAATAACCACAGTCAGCACTGTGCCGAGGTGCTGGCAGGGTTACCCACCAGCGCTTCACTGGCTACTATTCCTGCAAAGGCACAGTGACAATGGCCAGTGAGATTCTGAAATACTTTCGACCTGTGGACGCCCAGGGAAAGGGTCGGAGACCCTGGGGTTGGGAGGAGGTGTCACAGGCCAGGCCTGAGAACCACTAATCCAGGGTATGTTCATTGTGATTCTACATTGTGCCATGAGGGGAAGAAAATGCACAGATGAACAAGAGAGCCCCACAGGACTCTCAGGATTGGGATGAAAAAGAGGACTCTAAACAGAGCTGGACTTCAGTCTGAAAACTCAAAATAGGGGCGCCTGGGGCTCAGTCAGTTAAAGGTCTGCCTTCAGCTTGGGTCATGATCCATGGGATCGAGGCCCCTCATCAGGCTCCCTGCTCAGTGGGGAGCCTGCTTCTCCATCTCCCTCTGCCTCTCCTGCACCCCCTCCACTTATGTGCCCTCTCTCAAGTAAATAAAATCTTAAAAAAAAAAAAAAAAAAAAAAACACCACACATGCAACTCCAAATGGGTCAAAAAACCTCAAGCTTCTGAGTTGAGGTCAGAGCTTTAACCCCAACGACAATTCACCTGCTGAGCCGGTGCCCAGAACATACACTCCCCACAGGGAGCAGAGTGTATGCTCCCCCCAACCCCTGCACCCAACAGTCACCAGCCCCAACACCCCAGGCTGGGGGACAGCCTACCAGCGATACCAGGGAGAGTCATCCAGTCGCCCTCCTCAGCCAAATCCAGCCACCGTGTCACCTCATCAATCACCACCTTGATCTGGTCTTTATCCAGAGAACTGAAAGTGGGCACATGAGAGTGGGATGCTGCAGAAAACCACCAGAACCTTAAAAGCAGAGTTAATGTGACAGCAGTTTTGGAGGACTCCAGTCTTAACACTGCCATCTCAGCAAAAAAAATAGACCCAAATAAGACTATTTTCTGAGTCTTGTTCTACAAGAGAGCGCCAACTACTCGGCCCATACTCTCCCATACATTTGCAGGAGAAGGTCCCATCCATTTCTCCTGCATGGGAGCTAGCCAGCACTAAGCACTACTGTGAGGCCTGTCTGCTTAATTCAGCGTTTGGGGTGAAAAAGCACCATCTGGTGAAATAAGGAAAAGACAGGAACTTTGGTAAGCACGTCTTCTCCTATGTTAGAAACGTAAGAACATGATGTTATTTTGAGATGAGGAAAGACTTCTCCAACATTTGAAAATAACAGAACGTTAAAAATTCAAATAGTTCTTCTCTTACAAAAAGCTACATTTTTGGGTGCCTGGGTAGCTCGGTCAGTGAAGCGTCTGCCTTCAGCTCAGGTCATGATCCCAGAATCCTGGGACCAAGTCCCACATCAGGCTCCCTGCTCAGTGGGGAGCCTGTGTCTCCCCCTCCCTCTGCTCCTCCCCTTGCTCATGTGCTCTCTCTCAAAATCTTAAATTAAAAAAAGCTGCATTTTTATATGAAAAGCCAAGAATAAGAATTTCAGAAAAAAAACAAAAACTTCCATGGGCACTTGGCTGGCTCACTCATACAAGAAGACTCTTGATCTTGGGGTTGAGTTCAAGCCCCACATCAGGCATAGAGCCTACTTAAAACAAAAAAAACCTCTACTAATACATGGTTTTCTGGACCCAGTATTCAGTTACAACATTCCAGAGCTAAAAATCAGGGTACTTTAACCCTGTCCTAATAAAGGTAAAGAATCTAAAGCTCAAAGAGCTGAAAAGACTAGTTCAGCTCCATCCAACTCTTCCAGCATGGCTTCCTGGGGCCCAGGTGACCACACGATGCTATCACGCCATCACTCCTGGCCCTGTCTACAGCAGTACTGGGTTTTAAGTAGGACAAGTGGTCTCAAGAGGTAAAGAGAAAAGGCTGAGACCCCGCCTTCAGGAGTGCACAAATTCAGGAACATGAGGGCAGGATGTCCAGGGGAAGGTACATGACTGGCATGGTCAAGGTCGCCTGTGATTTACCCCCCAAGACATCCCCAAGGTCACACTGAAGGCCAGTATAACATCCCAGAGTGAGTCCAACACAACCTGCTTCTCCCCCTGCAGCAATGGAATAAAGTTCTGCTTTTTCATTTGAGGACGTAGAGTTAAGAGTCTGTGTTTTCTCTTTTCCCCCCTTCACTTTTAGACATTAAAGATCGTCCTCAATGCAGTAAGACAGCTCTCATCTGAGAGGAGAGAACAGGACCGCCAGGACTCGGAGCTGCGGTGTCTGGCTGATTGTGTGCTTCCAAAGCCACTCAGCTAAAGGTGCTGGCGTGAGGTCACCGTACCCCGGCGCCAGCATGCCAACCCACAGGAAACACAGAAGAACGCCGGTGACAGAGACAAGAGACACCCCTACCCCCAAAGCACCTGGAGAAACAGGCTCTACCTGCGAACTCTCCAGTTCCCAGTCAGGATGTTGTGTTTGATTTTCTTCTCCTGCTCTTCATTCATATAGGGGATCCCATTTTTGAGAAACTAGACAGGGGACAAGGAGACAAGTGGAGGCAGCCTCTACACACAGGAGCAGAGGGGGAAAGAAACCATCCTCGTCCAGGTCACATGGACAGCAAATGGGACTCCGCCCACCTGAACCAAAGAACTTTTCCAACCTTCCCCTTGCCCTCCTCTGCTGCCATACCTTGTTATAGTCGAAGCCATACTGATTCAGAAACTGAACACTAGAAGCCTGGAAAGAGAATTCGGAATCCAAAATCCCAAATGTCGTAGGGAAGAGAAAGAAGTTACATGAATGGGCTACATACCTATGAGAAAAAAATAAACATAAGGAAAAGCCAAAACGGTCTTTAAAATTCTAGCTCACAAGGGACACCTGGGCGGCTCAGTGGTTGAGCATTTGCCTTTGACTCAGGTCATGATCCTGGATCCTGGGATTGAGTCCCGCATCAGGTTCCCCACGGGGAGCCCGTTTCTCCTCCTGCCTGTGTCTCTGCCTCTCTGTGTGTCTCTCATGGATAAAAAATCTTAAAAAATTCTAACTCACAGTGCAGACTTGGAGCAGGCTCCTCCTTTCATTCGAGGAGTGTTTGAATGTTGGCTGTTCCTAGTACTCCTGCCTGGCCCTGGGTCCAGAGGGAAAAGGCAGAGATCCTGCCCCCTGAGAAGGGTCTACTCCCCATCCCGAGCCTACCGTGTGGCACGCTTTCTGACGGTGCCCAGGAACCAGGTCACCCTCACTAGGACACCATGTTAACTGCTCCCCTGAGGCACAGATGCAGAAACGGGCGGGGGGGGGGGGCGGGGAAGGCCCCAGAAAAGATGCTGGGCCAAGAGAGACTTGGAAGAGCTATAAGCCGCAGAGGACAGTGGGATAAAAGGGTACAGAAGCAGGTAGAAGGGCAAGACGACTGCGGAACATCCAGGGCCCAAGTGGTTCAGACCCTGAGGCAGGAGGTGGAGGGCAGCAGGTGAAGAAGATTAGTGGGCAAGTGCCGGGTGCTTTACAAAAGGTCTTCATACTTACTTGTTTGACTCTCCTTCAATACTGGAAAACACGGACAATCCTAGAAGAACGAGCACAGAAGAAATGAATACCAAAGAAAACCTATCTGAAGTGGGCTTCAGAAAGGCAACATTTTGACCAATACTTTGCACCTAGGGATATTGTGTATGCTTTAGAATAAGATCATCTCTTAGACTGGAAACAGGAGAACTGTCAAGCTGTTACTCATACTGAAAATACTACAATAGACCATCAAGGGGTTTTTCATACACAGAATATTGACATTTTTTCTAGTTTTAAAATCAGAGATTTATACACTTAATGGCTTTAAACTGTCCATACTGCTAAACAGACCCTGCACAAAATGAAGAAGGCTTCAAAGTAGAGGAAGACAACAGAAACCTACCTACATGTTGTTTTGTATACTTTTCACAGAGGTCTTATGATTATGAAAAACACAACAATAGCAGAGGACAAGGATAGAGCACACACACAGATGTGCATCATTCACAAAAAAAAAAAAACAGGCGTCAGTAAAATCTGCTGGTGGTACACCAAACATATATACAAACCAAGATAATTAATACAACTTGTTCTATCACACAGAGTATCCCTAATATGCATCATCAGGAGACTGAGTCAATTGATGCATTCACTTTGTAAGATTAGGGAGTCACATAGTTAAAAATGGAGGTTGTTTATGCTGATATTGAAATATCTCTAAGCCCCATTAGTGGGGGGGGGGGGAAAGAACAACCTTGTTTCTATAAGTTTTCTGTAAACAAAATTCCTACAGGTCTTCCCTTGAATGACGGTAAAGCCTCCTTAACGTTGATTAACTGTAAGGCATGGCAACGAAGCTGCTAAATTCAGTTTCTGCTTGTTCCACAGCGTTGGCCTCTGCAGGCACAACACAGCCCAAAATGAAACAATCACGTGAAACAATAGCCAGGCTCTCTGAAAGGAGTCCAGGCCGTTTTTAACCAGTGGTAATCACGGAGATGATACAAACACCTCCTTCATTAACTCCTTACAAACAGCTGAAGAGCACACTCACCAATCTGACAGATGGTGAACTGCTGAACACTGTGGCGGGTCTTCAGATACCACTCCGAGGGCAAGTCAAAAAGACTGTGGAAAAACACAGGCATCTCGGTGCCCAGGAAGGGAGAGGGCCGGAGGCACCTGCTGGCTCAGCACCCTGTTACTACTGGGGCAAAGGCCGGGTCCCCAGGCCCTCTACCCCTCAAAGTGCTGTCCTGCCCCCTCACTGCCCACACGGTGACTGCTGCCAAAGAGCAGGGGGGTGCCAGAGTCACAGGCAGCAGGGCGCAGGTGAGCACACCTCCCTAGCTCAGCTGGAAGGCAGCTCTGGCTTTACCTGATCTGCTGGGGCCGGGACAGGTTGGAGCGAAGGCCCGTGAACTCGATGTCCAGACCTGCAGGCCAAAAAAGAAAAATAAAGGAAGACAAAGGTCCCCGGACGCAGACCATTGCCAGCTATTCCTGCCGTAAAGGCTGCAGGTGGCAAACGTATCCGGCTCACCGTCGGGGCTCAGAGGCCAGGCGGGGTCAAGACGAGGAGAAAGCCAAAGCAAGGACAAGGCGGGCCACTCACCCCACCGGCTCTGCTCCGCTGGGGCCGCACCGGGGCCCGGGGCCCGGGGGCCCGGGCAGGGGAAGGAATCCGCCCGCCCTCCGAGGCCCTCTGGGCGCCTCCCGCGGCCTGGTGCCCGTCCCGGCGCCCGTCCCCGCGCCCGTCCCCGCTGGGCCGCGCCCCTCCCCCACCCGGCCCACCCGAGCCGCGGCCTCCGCGGCCTCCCCGCGCCTCACCCACGAAGTCGGCGCCCAGGACCAGCTCCTGCAGCAGAGGGAGGCTCTGCTCGAACTCGTCGGCGCCCACGTCCATGGCCACGCAGCTCGGCCCAGGGCGCCGGTGCGGCCACGTGCTGCCACGCGCTTCCGCCGCGCCGCCGCCTTAAGGGGCTCGTTCCTGATTGGCCGCGTGCCCCCACCTGCCCACCCCCAGGTGTCCGCCCGCACACCTCGCCCACCCGCGGGGCTGCCGGAGCCCCGCCTTCGCAGCCAGAGCCCAGCCCTCCGGCGGGCGCCGCAACGATGGCTCTGCGGTGGCACGAAGGTGAGTCACCTAGGTAGACCCAGGGTACTGAGAGGGGTGGTAGGTGAAAATAATGCCCGGAGGGCACCTGAAGGAACTTCGGTAAGTAGGTAATCACCGCAGCTGTGGCGGCGCGGGGGCAGGGGGCGCACCTCGTCCCGTTTATATCAGCGCGTCCTTGCACGTGGCCCACAGTGAGCTGTGCCTGAATCTCCCCCACCCCATCCTATCGTTTTCTTCACTTTCTCTGCCTCATCATTTAGAACACAGTCTCTCAAACTTGCCACAAAGGCCCTCAGGAACTGCATATCAAACTTGGAGAATCTTTGGTGCAGAGATGATCTAGGACAATCCTATTCCTTGCAGGAAAAACCCCTAGGTCACTTCCAGGTGAACCCTGTTTTTGTCACTGCGGATTCCAAAAACACTAGTCCAGTTTTTGGTCTTTAGGTCCTCCTCTGAACACCAGACCTATTTTGAGAAGCCTTCTACAACCACAGTCTTCAAAGTGAGATGCTCCATTCTTTAAGATGAGGGAAGAAAATATCAGACCTATATTAAACATTTTTAAATGTCCCCACTTGGGGTAGTTACTGATCACAAAGGGGCCACTGAGTCACTGCATCCTGAAGGCCTCTCAGAACCAAGCATACTTTGAAAAAATGGTACATACATATCTTTTAAAAATATCCAACACTCAGATTATAAATAGTAATGTTACTTCACTTCTGTATGAATACATAATTGGGATACATGTTTAAAATTGGGAAGTACTCTAGAAGCCACCTTAACTACTTACAGGTCTTCTCTTCACACCCGTCTTAAATAGCCAGAAATAGTTACTTTGATTTAATCGACTCCTGTAGAGAGCTGCCATGATTCCCACCTAGCCCAGTTTCATTTTAGATTAACATGATTTCAAGCTTCACCTCCAATTCCACAAACCCTGACTTCAAAACAAATTTAGCAACACCAACCCTGCTCCTTTCCACTTCCACTTTCAGCTCTTCACTGCGTTCCTTTCTTCTTTCACAACTCGTTTTGCATGTCAGGGTTCAGGAGCCCAACTAAGGTCCCACTCTGCCCCTTTTATCTTCATAGCACTAAGACTGTTAATAGTAAATTGATTGATAGAGCATTTCCTATTTTAAGAAAAGGCCCAAACCCTAAGCAGCAACAAATACGATTTTTTGAGATCACCCACTATGAGCTGGACGTGGTAACAATTAGTTTGCACAAACTTCCTATGTATACTCTTGCCACAGTGAGCTCAAAGGCAAAGAAAACGTCATGTAACCAGAAAGTGCTCATAATATGCCTTTATTCATTAACTTATAAACATTTAACTTGTCCTTTGAAAGTTAATTATAATTGGCAACCGCTTTTCCAGATAATTCTCTCCTGTCCAAGAGAGGGGAAGAATTTAGCCTTCGATTTAACCACCGCCACCCAACCCCGAAAACAGACCTAAGGGGAGGAGGGAATGACCTTAACTACAGTAATGTTCCACACTGTTACGTGATTGTACAAAACTTCCCAGCTGGCCCTTCTTCCAGATGCTCTCTTTTGAAGGACGTAGCACCTCACAGCTTCCTAGTTCCCCGTTTGGAACAATGCTATTTCATTCATAGATTCTCCGAGGCTCCTGCAGCACCACACCGCCTTCTGTCATGGCATTCTGTAGTCGTTTCATCTGGTTTTGAAGATCCATAAAAAGGAAAAGATTAAGTCAGCACAAGTAAGCTGATAATAAACAGTTCACTTCCCAAGAGAAATAAAACAGCCAATTTGTTCCTTGCTAACTTCCAAGCCCACACTGGTTTTCCAGAAAGTGATCTTAATAATGACACAGATAAGAAACTGTAGATGTCAAAGATTAGTAGTGTTTCATCATACAGACAAGATGTTAACCTGAACGGGGAAGCAAAGTGGTGGTCATTGCAGCGATAGAATCAGTGACCCTGGACTGACTCTGGACAAGCCTGCCTCAGGTGACTTGGGAATACTAATCTTGACCCTCTGGGTAATGAGGATGGAATGAGGTCACGCATGTCAACCTCATTCCCACCTCAACATGTGCTACATGGAAAGAACTTGATAAATGCAACTATTGTTACTATGTAAGCACCTGTTGTCAAGAATTAATACCTTTTAAATAAGTACAAAAACCAAAATACCGAGTCTGAGGCTGCCTCCCAAGGAGTGGGTTGGTAGACCATGAAGTTGATCCCTGCCTCTAAGCATCGCTCTGCCAGCACTCGTCCTATACTCTCACAGGCCACCACATTTCTGGTGCTATAAAGGTGCTTTTTAATAGCCCATTCCCGAGTAGATGCTGAAACCACAACCTTGCCGTTGCGATGCTCAACGAGTGCTTCTACGTGATGCTGAGTCTTTATAACTCGCAACCTAAATGAGATGAGAACAGAATCAAATCAAAACAATCTTAAAGATAAAAGGCCTCAAGTGAATAAATGCCTACATATTTCTCTAGAACGCTATGTTCGATTTGTTTACTTCAACACAGTTAACCTGGATTTTACTTGGGAAAAGTATTTTTCCTGTCTTTATGACAATATCCTCAATAAATCAAACACTTCCACTTAACCTCAAATATCCAGGAGTAATTTGATATTTCTGAGATGTGAGAATTATTTTTTTTAATTTTTATTTATTTATGATAGTCACACACAGAGAGAGAGAGAGAGAGAGAGAGAGGCAGAGACGTAGGCAGAGGGAGAAGCAGGCTCCATGCACCGGGAGCCCGACGTGGGACTCGATCCCGGGTCTCCAGGATCATACCCTGGGCCAAAGGCAGGTGCTAAACTGCTGCGCCACCCAGGGATCCCAGATGTGAGAATTATTACATAACATCTACTTCAAAAAAGGATTCGAGGAGGCAGAGCTAAGCTACGACTTTCCAATGAGGAAGGATATACTTACCCTACGCTTCTACTTTCCAGCTAACACCAAAATAAATAAAAGCGCGATCAAAGGTTTAAATTAAAAACTGAAACAGGAATACTAGCAAGCAGGATTTTTTTTTAAAATAATCTCAAGGCAAGCCTATTTAAATAGGACATCAAACCATATCATCCAGCTTTTATAAAGAAAAAACTGACAGTTTTCTACAGTTTAAAAAAACAGTAAACTGAAGTCAAAAGGCAAGCAAGAAACAAAAAATACTTAAAACACATATTATAGGGATCCCTGGGTGGTGCAGCGGTTTGGCGCCTGCCTTTGGCCCAGGGCGCGATCCTGGAGACCCGGGATCGAGTCCCACGTCGGGCTCCCGGTGCATGGAGCCTGCTTCTCCCTCTGCCTATGTCTCTGCCCCTCTCTCTATCATAAATAAATAAAAATTAAAAAAAAAAACATATTATACAAAGGACTAATTTCCATTTGTAAAAAGCCTCCTCTCATCAATAAAAAAACCCCCCACTAACTTAGTAGGCAAATGATTTGAACAGACTATTCACAGAAACAAAAAATATTAATACTTAGGCCCATGAAAATACACTCCGGTCACTGATGAGATGCATACGCAATTCATTGCAACATGGTTTGGAATCACTAAGGTAATCATCAGTATGGAGCTAGCTAACTAGAACATCCATGCAGTGGTATTCTATAGTTACCAGAAAGAATGCTGCTGACCATTTATTGAGTGCCTACTACATCAGGCATGGTCTTGTTTACAGGGATAGCTCATGTTTCAAAATAATCTCTCTCTTTTTTTTTTTAAGATTTTATTTATTTATTCATGAGAGACACAGAAAGAGAGAGAGGCAGAGACACAGGCAGAGGAAGAAGCAGGCTCCATGCAAGAAGCCCAATGCAGGACTCAATCCTGCATCTCCAGGATCAGGCCCTGGGCTGAAGGCCGCGCTAAATCAATGAGCCACCCGGGCTGCCCATCTTTTTTTTTTTTTTTTTTTTTTTTTAAGGCCACAGAAACTGACACAGAAAGGTTCAGAAACTTTAACAAGATCACAACTAATGGTTAATGGTAAGTAATGGAGCTAGGACTTCAGTCCAGGGTTTTGGCCCCAGAATTAATGTTCCTAAATACCACAAAGGATTTCCAAGATGTATTTTGAAGGGGGCGGAGAGGATTCAGATGAATAACAGTGTACATGGTGTGCTAAGATTTGTAATTTAAAACTCTAAGTTTATACCAGTATACACAAATTCTCTCTAAAAGGATACACAAACTATCCCCCCTTTGGATTTTATAGCATATGTTTATATTACACGTTTAAAAATTAAGCTCACATTAAAGAAAACACTAAAATTAGAGATCACACTAGGATTCTTAGTGTGAAACAGCAGAAAAAGCACTAGATTGAGAAATGTGGGTTCTACCTGGATTTTACTTGGGAAAAGTATTTTCCCGAATGGTTTTGCTGGAAGCCCTAGTGAAAAATCACAATTTCTTAATCAAGGGTCAACAATCCTTTTCCCTGAAGTCTGACAGTAAATACTTTAAGCTTTATAAGCCATAGGGTCTCTTGCAACTGCTCAACTCAGCCACAGTTAATACCAGAACAGCCAGGTGAGAATGAGTGGTGGTATGTTACAATAAAATTTTCTTTGTGGATAATGAAATCTGAATTTTATATAATTTTCACGTCACAAAATATTATTTTTTGAAATTTGTTTTCATACTTTAAAAAAGAAATTTTTAGTTTGCAAGCCAACTTTGGCCCATTGGCCATCGTTTGCTGATCTGTGTCTTAAACCATTTGTTGAACCTTTGTCCAACAAAGGCATAGGACTCATCTTCTCTGAGGTCACTTCCTATTATAATCTGCCAAAATTCCATACTGATGATAATGTGAATATAGCAGATAGGAAATAAAAAAAAAGTGGGAAAATACATCTCTATTTTGATGGTCCAAATATTAGGTTGAAACGGTTGGGTTTCAAAAGAATTTTATGAATAAATAAATAAAATATTAAAAAAAAAAAAAAAAAGGACGCCTGGGTGGCTCAGCGGTTGAGCGTCTGCCTCTGGCTCAAGATGATCCGGGATCAAGTCCCGCATCAGGCTCCCTGCATGGAGCCTGCTTCTCCCTCTGCCTCTGCCTCTGTCATGAATAAATAAATAAAATATATATATATAAAAAAAAAAAGAATTTTAGACTTAAGATCCAAATTATTTCAAAAGTGACCTACCTACTTCCTTTTTTTGACTCCTCCTATGAACACTAAGTAAAAACGCATCACAGCAATCGTAAAATTTTATTATCCCTATTCCATCTTCCAAAACAAAACCTAAAATTTTTGCTAACAAGGACGAAATCTGCTTTCTTTGCATCTCCTGCATCTAGCACAATGCCTATGAAGTGCCATAGGCCTAATGTTTGTGGAATGAATATATCATAGTTATGACCCTAACTTCCTGTTACAGTTTTATATAGTCCTTAGGAAAGGATTCCCATTCCCACCCACCCCAGCCATTTCTTCTGCTGGGAGTGCTCTTCTCGGCAGGTTACCTTATAGCAGGCACCCAGGCTCCCCAGCCTCACATCATCCTCTTTAAATTTTCTCCCTGACTTTTATTTATTTACTTCCATTATTGTTGGTTTGTGCCCCCGCCCCCGGCCACTGACCCCTCCTCCACCACCAAACGGCGGCTTCCTGAGAAGAGACTCGCCACAAGCATCCGGCCTGTGGACTGAGCTGAGGAACGCTCCGCAGGGCAGCGCGCACTGCTCCGTCGGTCGGTTAACCGGCCGCCGCAGTTACCTGTGCCAGAACTCCCGGGAGGGCCAGGTTGTCCCCCAACCCCGCTCTTTCCTGGCCACACCTAGGAGCTCCAGATTGCGGGGGTTCCGGTTGGTGAACTCTGGGGCGACAGCTGCGTTTCCCACAGGGTCCGCTTCAGGCTTCGCCGCTGGCTTGGCACTCGTTGACAGCGCTGCGACCCCACACCCTAAGAACGGGAACCACCACGCGTATCTTAAAAACTGACACACACGGACAAAACGGGAACAAGGCCCAACCGCTATCCCCGTCCACTCCCCGAATCCTCGCTCCCCGGGAGGGGGAAGTCTGGTCACGGGACGCAGTCATCACAGGTCCTGGTACTGTCGTCACAGCGCTGTCAGCCCGTAAGCTGCTCGGCCGGGTGGACTATAAAACACGACTTGCATGTGCACACTTACTGTGCAGCCCCCGAGGAGTCGTCTGAGAGAAATGGGAATTCCCGGGGTTTCTGCAAGCCGACAGGCACTCCCAGAACCGCGAGCGGAGCGCCATCGCTGAGGGATCGCGGGCTCAGCCTCGGAAAAGCCTCACGTCCTCCCCTCACCGGCGTCCCAGCCGCTCGCCGGCCGCAGCCATGTTAACTCTGGGAGCAGCACGGGTTCCCGGGGGTCACCGACGCCTCCGCCCGGAACTGGCGAGCCGGGTCGCCGAGCGGCCGACGGAGCGATCAGTCACCTCGGCTCCTCCAATCACTGCCCACGCAGAGGCGCACGCTACGCTGGAGCCCGCCAACCACCTCGCAGCGCCGCGCGGGGGGGCGGGGCGCAGCCCGCTAGGTCGCGGGCGGCGTCTCGCCGGACCGGCAGGCGCGAGGCACCCGTAACTTCACGTTGCCTTATTTGGTCCTGCGGTCGCAAAGCGTCTGCTGATCGCGGTCAGATCCACACACGGCCCCGCTGGGCAACGGGAGGAATCGGCGCAGCGCAAGATGCAGCTTCTCTCCAGAAACCGTGGTGGTCATTTTCCCCGTACGGCCCCTGGAAAGCTCTTGGCCCGTCCCACCCAGGTTCAGGCCCCCAAGCTTATGCTCGTGGGCTCGGAAGTCAGCCCGCGACTCGCCGCGTCCTCTCTGAAGACCCTTAGCGAACATGCCGAACTCGCTCAGGAGCGCAGCCGAACCGTGAGAGGCCCGCCCTCTCGTCACACCCCAACTCCGAGCTCCGCCCCACCGCCCACTTTTTCTAGAAAGCACTAGAAGGTGCAAGCGCGCACGCGCAACCCGTTCCTGCAGGAGGGGAAGAGAAGCCTCAACCGTGCACCTCCTTCCTCCTCCAGTGCGCGATCCTGACTTCCGTTCTCCTGCCTCGCGCCCTGCTCATTCGCTCTCTAATTGGGCGAAAGTGCTGCACCCGCCTTCTCCCGCCGCCTCACTTCCGGCTCCTTCGGACGGTCGCTCCCCCCGCCCCCTTCTTTCCTTCCCGCCCTGCCCCGCGGCCCGGCCAGGGGAGCGGTGTTCCCAGCAGCCCCCGCGGCCTCGCTCGGCCCCGTTCCACGCCGTAGCCGCCGCCGCCGCCGCGTTGCTGTGGCTGCCGCCGGGCCTAGGGATCCAGACGCTGGTTGCCCGCGGTGAGCGTGAACCTCGACGTGCACCCCGCCGCCAAGATGGAGGGGCCTTTGTCCGTGTTCGGAGACCGCAGCACCGGGGAGGCGATCCGCTCCCAGAACGGTAAGCGCGAACGAGGTCTGTGCCGGGCGGGCCCACGGCGGTGCGGGCCCCCGCCCCCAGCCCGCTCGGCTCGGGCCGCCACCGCGCCCTTTCCCTCCTGGAGGGTCCGGGATGCGCCTCGCGGGGCTCCCCACGGCGGGGCGGGTCCGGCCCCCGCCCCCAGCCCCCAGCCCCCAGCCCGCTTGGCTCGGGCCGCCACCGCGCCCCTTCTCTCCTGGAGGGTTCGGGATGCGGCCGCGCGGGGCTCCCCGGGGCGGGGCGGCAGCGCCCTCTCGCCGCCCGCAGAGGGGTTGCGGAGAGCCCCGCACGTTTGGGAGCACAGCCCTGCGGATTGTGGCCGGCAGCGGATCCCGGGGCTCTGGGCCGCCCAGCGCTGCAGGGACACGTGCCGTCACGCCTCGAGTCCCCTTTGGGCCGGGCGCCCTGCGCCGCCGATTCTAACCTGCAGGAGCGCCTAACTCCATGTTTGGGCCTCGTTTTAGGGCCATTACCCAGAAAAAGACGAGCTTTAACTGCTCGCTCTCCTGATGAGCGAATGGCCGCGACCCGGATGTCTTGCCCGTTGTAGAACCTGCTGGTTAGAGCCTGCGGTAGTAGCCGCCGGTGCCCCGCGTCCAGACCCAGTTCTTCCCACGCATCGCTGACAGGTTCTTACCGTACGGTTGACAGGCGAAATTTCGGTTGAACGTTCGCGTAAGTGGTACTTAGGACGAGTTCATCCTGGCAAACGATACGGATTCACACGTTTGCTGCAGTTAAGCCTCTTTTGCAAGCGTGCTCGCTTTGAAGTCATGGATGCCTGCCCATCTTACCCTTTTAAGTATTTTGGATTGATTTGTATATTTGGAAAATGCAAAGGCTGTGGCTGTCACTTTCTTTAGGCCGAAATGAAATGGCCGTCATTTGGAGCAGTGGATTTAATTTTTTTTTTTTCTTTTTCCTGCAGTTATGGCTGCGGCTTCTATTGCCAATATTGTAAAAAGCTCTCTTGGTCCAGTCGGCTTGGATAAAATGTTGGTTGATGATATTGGTGTAAGTACACCTACATGTTGTGTTTGTGACTTTAACAAAAAATAACAGTGCTTAAATGTTTAGCGCCATGAATTGTTTTTATCACAATGCTGATACTGGAAGGTGTAGTAAAGGGGCTAGTGGGCTTGTGTTCATTTAGAGGAGGTCCTGTGTTTGTAGTTGATTGTGTTGTCTTTTTTTCTTCCCTGCAAATTCCGTAGGATGTAACCATTACTAACGATGGTGCCACCATCCTGAAGTTACTGGAGGTGGAACATCCTGCAGCTAAAGTTCTTTGTGAGCTGGCAGATCTGCAAGACAAAGAAGTGGGAGATGGAACTACCTCAGTGGTAGGTAGTTTGTCACCTGCTAGATCGCTGTAGATTAGTTGTTTTCTTTTTTTTTTTTTTTTTTTTTTTTAGGATTTTATTTATTCATTTATGAGAAGACAGAGAGAGAGAGAGAAGCAGGCTCCTCATAGGGAGCTCTGTGTGGGACTCTATCCCGGGACCCGGGATCAGGCCCTGAGCCAAAGGATGACACTCAACCAATGAGCCACCCAGGAGCCCCTAGATTAGTTGTTTTCCTAAAACTGAACCTTGACAAAGTGAAGCCAGAAGTAAGTCATTTGTTTCTCAGTCAGATGAGGTACATACTTGAGAGGGAGAAAATTTAAGTTGGGATAGTGATTTAAAAACAGAATTTAAAATCAATATTTACTGCTAGCTTGTAGGATTTAAAGGAGAGAAGCTTAAGAGGTAATATAGTACAGTCATTTTAAATGTGAGTTTTCACATGTTTTGTGAGTTTTTCAGCTACAACAATATTTATACATCACATACAGGGCTTTTGTTTGTTTTATGTTATGTTTCCAGGGTGTCTGGGTAGCTCAGTCAGTTAATCGTCCAACTCTTGATCTCAGGCTCAGATCTTGATCTCGGGGTTGTGAGTTCAAGCCCCACATTGGACTCTACATTGAGTGTGGAGCCTACTTTAAAAATTTTGTTTTGTTTTGTTTTCTCCTTACTACCTGAAACTTAGAAGTTCCTAAACTCTTAAGTTAGGGGAGAAATGTTACTGGGCTTTTGCTTTTTTTTTTTTTTTTTTAAGGTGTTTTTATATTAAATTCTGATAGGCAATCTCCTAAGTTCAGAATGATAAGGAACAAATAATTTGCTGTAAAAAAAAAAAAAACAGGCAGTGATTTGCAGGGAAAATGTTTATATTTGTAGATTGAACTTCAAGCCATGAAAGAATGGAATGGAATCTACCTTTTCTGAAATAATGAAAATAGTTTTTTTAAGTAACTTGTTTACAGTAATATGGTTTTTAAAATAACGTGATTTTAATTTCCCTAGAAGAGGCAGACTGAATTTTTGATTCTTTAATGTCCTTAGAAGAATGATTTTTTTAAAGACTTTATTTATTTATTCATGAGAGACAGAGGCAAAGACATAGGCAGAGGGAGAAGCAGGCTCCATGCGGGGAGCCCAATGTGGGACTCGATCCCGGGTCTCCAGGATCACGCCCTGGGCTGAAGGCGGCGCTAAACCGGCTGAGCCACCCAGCAGTCCCCAGAAGAATGATTTTTAAAGTAAAAAAGTAAACCAAGTAAAAATTTAAAGTAATAAAGATTATAGGAGTAGTAGACTTTTTTTTTTCAGGTTCCCAATAACCAGTTATTCACCATCATTGGCACTCTGATTAATCGTAGGTAGTTTTAGTGCTGTTTTTACATATGTGTTGCACTTATTGTCAGACTAAAAGCAGTGAATATTTTCTCAACAGGTTATTATTGCAGCAGAACTTCTTAAAAATGCAGATGAACTAGTCAAACAGAAAATTCATCCCACATCAGTTATTAGTGGCTATCGACTTGCTTGCAAGTAAGATTGTTTGCATTCAGAGGAAATTTTACATTATGTGATGTTATAGTTGTAAATAGTCTATGTTCTTTAAATGTTAATGACTAAATTTTTATTTTGAAAAAGTGCTACTTTAGTAATAATATCTGGAGTAAGAATAAGGCTAGTATCTTTTTTCCCATTTGACTACCACATTTTCTCCCAATAATAGATTTTGGTGGCTATGCTTATGGGATAGATTAAAATTGCCATGATCTGAAGAGGGAGGATTTATTTGTGTCCTCCTCCTATATGAAATGGCCAAACAGAAAATTGGTGCCTAAGATATTTTGACACTTTGGTAAAACAAAGTTTGAGTAGTGCATTTACAAATGTTTTCTCCCACACACTTCAAACAGGGAGGCAGTGCGATACATCAGTGAAAATCTGATTATTAACACAGATGAACTTGGAAGAGATTGCCTAATCAATGCTGCTAAGACATCGATGTCTTCCAAAATCATTGGAATGTATCCTTGTGATAAAATCTTGGTTAGTTTTTGTGCCGAGTGATACTGTATTAAAATTGTTTGCTCCCTTCCTTGATTTTCTAGGGGGAGAGATGATAATAAAGCGTGTAATAGTACTATGAATTACAAGTAGTGATAAAAACTCCTGCATTTTGATGGAGTTTTATTATTAATGCTTGTTTCTTTGATGAATTGCTAAAAGGAAGTGCCTTGTATTACTCTTGATTTTTGTTTGCACCTGTTGTCCATTCCATGTCTCTCCATGTTCCCCTTAACCCTTGTCTTAGAAATGGTGATTTCTTTGCCAATATGGTAGTAGATGCTGTACTTGCGGTTAAGTATACAGACATAAGAGGCCAGCCTCGCTATCCAGTCAATTCTGTTAACATTCTGAAAGCCCATGGGAGAAGTCAGACAGAGAGTTTGCTTATCAGTGGCTATGCACTCAACTGTGTGGTGGGATCCCAAGGTAAGGCTTAGGATTTAGTACTAAAAGTGAAAATTTGCTTTTTGTGGACTACTTACTTAATACATCTTTCAGGTGGGCTATCCAAGCTTGCACCTACTTTTCTTCAGTAAAGCCCAGAGTAAAGGAAATCGTATATCCAGGTTTTCGGTTTCCCTTGTGTAACTTAGTACATAAAACTTAGGAGAAGTGCAATGCAAGTTAAAGTATGTGTGGCAATGGCCCTAAAAATTTGTTTGTAGAGTTAAATATAATAAAAATGTAAGTTTTGGTCTTTAAAGATAATTTAATATCTTTTGCTACTTTTGTGCTTAAGAATAGGTGTATTTTATAAGATGTGACATTGTTACAGTTCTTATAAATGTATTCAATGTGTTCAATTATAGGCATGCCCAAGAGGATAGTTAATGCAAAAATTGCTTGCCTTGACTTCAGCCTGCAGAAAACAAAAATGAAGCTTGGTGTACAGGTGGTTATTACAGACCCTGAGAAACTCGACCAGATTAGGCAGAGGTATGTTTAGAGATTATTTTTGACTTTTGGAAAAGGTGTTTATAAATTATGCTTGTTAGAGCAGGTAACAGTAAAGAAGTATACCCAAAAGGAGCGGGGCACTGGGGTGGCTCAGTGGGTTAAGCGTCTGACTTGTCTGACTTGGGCTGAGGTTCGTAATGGCATGGTCTTGGTTCTAAAAGGGAGTTCATGGACTCTGCTCATCAGGAAGTCGGCCTGTGCCTCTGCCACCGCCCCCTCTCATGGTTGCGCACTCTCAAAGAAATACGATAAAATCTTCTTTTAAAAAAGCACATTATACTTTCTAGAAAATGGCA